CCACAAAAGCACGGGTTGATGTCTATGCCACTTTCCTCAACTTCCACAGTATTCGCCTCGCTTTTCCATTTAATCTACGTTTGTGTCAGTCTTTTTACACTTCTAAATCACTCTTCTTCTTACCCTCTGCACATTTGTGACTTTGAATTTCTTCTCTCTGTAAAGTTCGAAGTCAGCTAAAGATCCGAAGTTAACTATCAATCATATAGCCTGCCTTTGATATAAATATTTTATTTCCACACTATTTTCACAATTCCATAGAACAAGTGTTGTAGTGAACATTTCAACTCAATGCTACACACAAATTAAGTTGAATAGTGTCATTAGGCATCTTTAGTGACATGGCATGAAAACGTGTTGGTATGTCATCCTTGATTCTGAATTGGCCAATAATAAGTGTTCTGAGGGATGTGTAAATGCCTGAAGACTATATAAGGAAAAATTGAGCTAGAGTTAAACATGGATCGTGTCTGACCTAATTCCAACCTACCTCTTGGATGCCCTTGGCATCTTTTTAATTTATGCACCCTAAAGCCGTTAGACAGTGACCCAATTGTTCTTTCAATTCATGGCGGCCTAGTTGACCATGTCTTAGCAAGACTTTCTTGGTTTATAAGAATGCAATGTGCCGTTTTCATTGTATGAGTATGATAAATCGATGTCTCTGCTGCTCAAACCGGATGTTATCCTACTGTCTAATTGATTGGAAGTATAACCCTGAGGAAAAGAAAGGGCATCAAAGGACCTAGATTTCTCAAAACGTTCCAAATCCTTTTTCCTTATTTGATCAATTTGCGCCATTAGTATGGATTTGAAGCTTTTGACAGAGCGTTAAATGTGAACATAATGACTTTGCTGCCAATAATATTATGGCATATGTCTACTTAACATAACAGTACTTATCTTTTTCACCCCATGTATTTATAAAGAGACAACTCATTTCCGACTCCTTCAAACCAACTTTAGTTTTTTTTTGCTTACAACAGTTATATTCACGGGCACATCTGCCATTCTCAAGAGCAGGCAATAACAATAAAGCTGAAGCAGGCCAGTATATGTCAATACTTCAAAATTTTCATTAAGTGTTTGCAAGTATGTGAAGTGGAGAAAAACTTTGCTCACACGGTCAATATGTACGAAAAACGGTCATGGAATATCTTCTCCATTCAGAATTTACATGCTGATCTCGACAATTCTGCAAAAATGCAGAGATTTATTATCCGGTAAATTCATTCAATAACATTGTTTTAACATTCTTTTCAAACATTCGCTTAAGTGCTAAATTAACAGCGTATTTGTAAGAAGTAAGAAATCGCACACTGTGGTGATGTGTCTTGCCAAACAGGCTTACCATTCGTGCTATAGTCAGGGGGCACTATTCAAACGAATGATAAGATCGATAATGCGAAAAATTCATAATATGAAAGTCCTGCAATCTCTGTTTGGCTCAGTTGCAGACCAATTATGTGCTCATTTACTCGTTTGACAACATTGTGCAATTTGAAAAGTTGTTCTGCATATCAATCCCCACATTCCTACCACGTTTATTTTGTCATTATTAAAAGCTTTTACTACCATACCTCATAAAAGTCTAAAGATTTGAGTTAATTCTCTGCTTTTAAATAGAACTCAATAAACACCAAATTTTAAAATTTCGGTGGAGTTAAATGGCGCATTCATTAGAGTTGATTCGATTGGAATATGCAGTAACTTAAAAGTGTGTGGCATTTGCATAACTAAATAGAGCAACGAATTTGCCATAATTACTACTTTTGGAACTAAATGGTACCTTACTGCGGTCTTTCAAAATACCCTGAGAATACATCTTTCCTAATATGCCAAAATATGCTTGTGGAAATCAACTTGTTGAATAAAGCGGTTCTACCTGTCCACTAATTTCTCTCTTCATGTGTAATCGTTTTCTAACCACACCCACACACATCAATCCGATAGTGAGACAGTTGATTTAATACGGCCAAAAATTGTGCTTTCTTATGGTTAAATTCCATTTTACTATGAAAGGCTTATGAGAACTCATTGCCACTCAAGTGCAGTCCCATTTCCAAAAATTGAACGAAATAGGGGAATGAAATTATAAATCTAGACTGTTGCCCAAATTATGCGAATTGAATTTTTCCAGTATTACTTGATTAACCAAAGCGTTTGTTGAATAAAGAGATAAAAGTGTTCGACAAAAACTGGTCTCGAAGAAAATGACTAGAACACATTGCAGTTAAAACGACCTCTGTCCGTGCATTGAGACATTCGCGTTACATTTAAAGCGGCTTGGCCCATTAAAGCAGCAGTTGTATGCCTGGGGATGTTTGCTATTTACATCAAATGGCAGGCGTTTTATGGTTATCATTAGCCCCTTAATTGATTTCAGGCTTCACAGAGGAATGAGGAATATCAAAGTGAAAAAAGAGGAGAGGGGGGAACAGAAGAGTGTTTCAAAGACAAAAATAGAAAAGTGAAAAAAAGTTTGGATGTGTATTGTGAGGGTATTCGAATATGACATACAGTGGGGTGATGGTAGTTTGAAGTCTGAGGTCAACTGCTGGTTAATTGACTTTTACCGCATGATTGCACGTTGCCCGGGTTGCATCACGTGGGAATAAGTCTATCTCACACCCCGGAGACGATATTATCGATAATAACAGATTTCAAATACCTTATCAGGCAGGCAAAATGAGGCCACTTTTCATTCAATATATTACAACATTTGAAATTAAAAATGTAATTTGATCTCTATTCACAGTGACATTAAAAACATTTTGGTGACTCTGTAAATGTAAAAATGCGCTATAGAAATTCAAAGAGGTATCATCAAGGCTCATGTGACCATCACTCCCTTAGGGGTCTAAACAAAATATTTTGCTTAATTTGAATGTGAGGAAATAACGATTAATGACCTGGTAGTAAGTCAAATGCAATTGATGTGATATGGAAATATAAGATTTTAAAATACGTTTGAAATTTAAGGGTCCAAAAGGTATGAAAATCTTCGAAATATTGAATTTTTTACTTTCTATAATAGATAAGTAATTTCGCAAAAGTCCAAATGGGATAATTTAATCGATTTTTTCCGGATTAAAAAGTGTGGAAAATATTCATACGAATGTGTCAATTGTGCAAAGCACTTAATTAATTTTTACATTAAGATGTCTCCTGGTTTCAAAGAAGTGGAATTGAGATAGGTAGGGAGACAGATATCGTTTGTGTTGATTCAAGTTATTCCATTTGAAATTCCCTTTAGGCATGGAGCAGTTTATTTTTTCGATGATTTTCCATCACTGAGTAATTTGTATAATCCCAATTTCAAATCGCTCATATTGTCGTGTTACTTAATAAGCCTCGATATTGTATGAGGTGTTTTGTGAGAGTACTTTCCATGCCATTGAGTGGGATATTATAAGTTGTCAACATTTGAGAGAAGTGATTCTTACTCTAAGAAGTCACAATCGGAATTAAATTGGGCTGCCTACTTAAATTATTGTGCGAAAATTGCAACTGTTTAAATGATTGGAGTAAAAAACACCCTCATTTTCAAGGCTGCAAAGTTTCACTCTGGGAATAGATAAAAGTCGAAACTCTCTAAAACTGATTTTAATCAAAGTTAACGGACTAATTTATTTCGATATTTTCCATTATTCAAGAGATCAACAGATTTATTTTCATGAATAAAACAAAAGCATACTTTGACACTATACTTCTCGTTTGCATTTGTGCCCTAATATTGTGGCATTGAAGTGGGAAACCTATCGGCTTTATTCTGATGGGTGAATCGTAGCAGAACTTCATATGTAAATGAAGATATTTAAAGCCTAATAGAACACTGCAATGACTCATAAAAATCAGCCTACATGGCATATCAATTTCGCCATCACCTGAGATTCCTAATTATTGGCATTAAAAATGCATGGTTTTAAATATTTGTCTGTTTATTTCAAATGACAGGCTTTATGATATTTATCATTAGCCCTTAAACTTTGACTTCAGCGTCCCCAAGGGTTATCATTCGCAATTTAACTTTGACTTCAGCTTCCCCCAAGGAAGGGTGGGTACATTTATAGCAGTTAATCAATAGCGGAAAAACTTTGACTTCATCTTCCCCCAAGGGTGGGGGGGGGGGTACATTTATAGCCTTAAACTTTGACTTCAGCGTCCCCAAGGGTGGAGGGGTACATTTATAGCAGTTAATTAATAGCAGTTCATTAGCCGTCTTCTTGCTTCCCAGTATCTCTGGATTTCCAACGTTGTCTTTAGGGCTGGACATGGAATCAGGGGGTCTACTCCATTACCTCCTGTAGGTTACATAGAGGGCATGTGGGTTGTGTGTATACTCCCAATATGTGAAGGTGTTTTGCCAAGCAATCGTGTCCGGTACGTAGTCTGAACTCAGCAAATGTTTCGATTCTTGGCCAGTCGGGTAAGTCGGAGAGGGCCACTGTCCAGTGTTGCACCTTGAGGTCTGGAATTCTATTCTGATTAAAGCCATCATTGTGTGGAAAGACATCGGCCGGTCCATGCATTGCAAAAACGTTGTCTCCTTCTTAGCAAATGTGTCAGCAAGCTCATTACCTTTAATGCCACAATAACCAGGAATCCATTGTAGGACCACTGTTTTGTTTTACTTCCTCAACACCTCAAAGAGTTTTCTACATTCCTTCATCTCAGCTGTTTTGGGTGTCTCTCTGCTTCCAATTGGGTTTATTGCTGACTGCGAGTCCGAAAGTATCACCACTTTGTTGAATTTCGTATCCAGGCAACATATTGGCATAGTGCAATTCCAATGCCTTCTTATTATTCTTCAAAAGATGATCTATTGTGTCCCACTGCTGCGTAGAAAGGGAAGAGTTCAGAAAAGGCACCTGCACCAACGTTTTTTCTATGTATGACCCATCAGTAATGACTAGGGGCCATTGATGAGAAGAGTTCAGAATAGACACCTGCACCAACGTTTCCTTGGCTTTCCATGGCCTCAACAGTGCAGACTCTAATCAGTGAAGACTTGGAGCCATTGATCTAGGGATGTCATCAGCAGTGAAGACTTGGAGCCATTGATCTGCAGGATAGTTGACCCTCGGATGTTTGATTTCCTGAAGAAGTCGAGCAGTTGGGTGCGATTTCCTGAAGAAGTCGAGCAGTTGGGTGCAACACACTACATCCTGAAGAAGTCGAGCAGTTGGGTGCGACACTACATCAACGTCTGCTAATGGGTTCATGGGGAGAGAGAGGCTTTTTGGTCCTGCTAATGGGTTCATGGGGGGAGAGAGGCTTTTTGGATTAGATCGTAATTCTTTCTTCAGTTCTATGGCTTTCTGTATTAGACCAGTTTGCGTTTTCAGATGCCTTTGCTATTCTCATAGGTGCTGAAAAACTTATCCATTGGAATGCTTAGTAGCTTATCAAACAGGATGAAGGCCTTTTCTTTGTTAAGGGAACATATTGTGGTGTTTCCTGTAACTAGTAGCATTGCATCAATGGGTGCTGATTTTAACCCTCCAGTAATTAGTCGTAATGCTTGGTTGTGTGCTTTTTCGAGTGGTTTGAGAGTCACCTCTATGGCTTTAATGAGTGGCTCACAGCAATACAACATTATTGGCTGAATAAACATCTTGTAAGTGGTGTTTAGAGTTGAGCGCGCACAGCCCCATACGCTACCAGCAAGACGCTTCTGTAGATTCAGTCTATTGGAGACTCGTTCTGTTATTTTGGTAATGTGACTTTTCCACGTTAGCTTAGTGTCAAACGTCATTAGCACATTCAGTCTATTGGAGACTCGTTCTGCTATTTTAGCAACCGTTCAGTCTATTGGAGACTCGTTCTGCTATTTTAGCAATGTTCTTTTCCACGTTAGCTTTGTGTCAAACGTCATTCCGAGATTTTTTTTAGCTTTGTGTCAAAAGTCATTCCGAGATATGTGAACTCATCTGTCAAACGTCATTCCGAGATAAGTGAACTCATTGGTTTTCGATTTTAGCAATGTGACTTTTCCACGTTAGCTTTGTGTCAAGATTCCGAGATATGTGAACTCATTGGTTTTTTCTAGGGTAGCATCCTTGTGCCTTAGAAGCGGGTTTATGCTGTGAAAGGTCAAATAAAAAGTTTAGAATGCAGTTTATGCGGTGTTGATTTCCATTCCATTGTTGTCGCACCAGTTTGCTAGTAGTTTACGTGCACTAGTTAGAGCAATCTGTGTCCTCTCCTGAGCGTTTTTCTTATGGGCGGAATACCATAGAACAAGATCAACTGCCTAAATAGGGGCGGAATACCATAGAACAAGATCATCTGCATAAAGTTTTCACGTAATACCATAGAACAAGATCAACTGCCTAAAGTAAGCACTTGATGCCCGTGACTGTCTGTACCAATTCGGCTATGTTATTGATGAGGGGTGTGCGATAGACTTACCTCCACGTGGTTTATTTAATGAATGGGGTGTGCGATAGACTTACCTCCACGTTGTGCGCCCTGGGCACCGTATACTCATACGGCAAAAAAGTCTATTAACCGGCAGTTGTTGCGATAGACTTACCTCCACGCGGTGCACCCTGGGCAACCCACTCATACGGCAAAAAAGTCTATTAACCGGCAGTTGACTTATCACTTCTCATACGGCAAAAAAGTCTATTACCTGGCAGTTGACTTCTGACTTCAAACTGCCATGACCCCCCTGGTTGTCATTTTCGTCCCCTTCCACAGAACTCACCTTAACTTTTTCTCTGCCTTTGTGTCTGTCTGTTTTTTTTACATCTGAGAATCGCTCTTCTGTTCCCCACCCCTCAACTTTCTGCTACTTTGATGTTCCTCCTCTCCTCTGTGAAGCCTGAAGTCAGCTAAATGGCTAATGATATCTATCAAAACGCCTGCCATTTGAAATAAATAAATAAAAGTTATTGATGAAGACATTGAAAAGTTAGCAGATTGTGACAGCTCCCTGTAGAAGGCCTGTTTGTAAAAGATTGGATTTTGATAGAGCATTTCCATATCTGACTTTACACGATCTTTGTCCAATGAATGCTTTTATCCCGTTTAGCATGTTATGCTTAATACTAATCTTTGTCAATTCTTAAATTAGCTTCTCTTTCCATACCAAGTCCTATTCTGATTTGAAATCGACGAAAACAACCGTAAGTGTATTCCTTGCATCAAGGGCATCTTTGATGTGTTGGGAGA